ACTACTAATCATCCCGTCCAAGAGCTTAATAATGAACAAAATCCCGAGTATATCTCTACGACTGTAAAGTGTTGGTAAATTTATAGCTTCAATCGGCTTTTGTATGATGGGAGATTTAAGGTCGAATGCCATGACAAATTTTTTAATGAAAATACTAAAATTTGTTTCTGTACCAACTCAAGTCTGTCAGAATGCAGGTGAAGAGTGCTTTAGTGACTCACTTTAGAGTATATTATTGACTAGAATTAGATTAGAATTGGTTACCTGAAAAACGTATAATTACAAACACTTTAATAGCCTGTAATTTTTATTAAAGGCAATTTCGTTTTTCAACTTGAGAAAAAACTAATTCCGAACTTACTTATAATGCAATGATTTGATCGCGAGAATTGTAAATTATTCTAACTTTGGAAAAGTAGTCGAGAATAATATTACATATTTATCACCATGAAAATAATAATTTTTTAAAATATTAAAGACATTTTCAAACATATAAAAAAAATATATATTTTTAAATTTTTGAGTCTCCATAGAGGCATCTTCGACCCCTTTGCGACACGCCTTAACCGACTCCAATGGGACAAAAATTTATAGATGAAAAAAAACAAAAATAAATTTAATTTTTGGAGTCTCTGTAGAGGAATCTGAACTTTGCCCTCTGTGCGATAGGCCTTAAGCGTCTCCAATCGCGACCAAAATTTATATGTGATATCTGTATCTGTGATATTACCGATTGAGGGGTGAGCTTTCGTGCGCGCACCGGTATGATTCTAACCCCCCGCTCCCCCATTGTGATTGGCGAGCTACGTCACTGCATATGTAGACACATGCATACGATGGCGAGGTGGTTTTTATATGCAGTTTTATTAAATGTAATTTTGTGATCTTGCTGTTGTAGGCATTGTTATTGCCTTACTATCATTTTCATAGGAGTTGTTTATTGTACATGCATAAATAAGTAGGTACATCATACGTTGTAATTTGTTGATAATTCAATGATAGCATACATTGGATTTTATGAATTTTTGTAACGGGTGATTTTTTAAGAGCTTGATAACTTTTTTTTTAAAAAAAACGCATAAAATTTGCAAAATCTCATCGGTTCTTTATTTGAAACGTTAGATTGGTCCATGACATTTACTTTTTGAAGATAATTTCATTTAAATGTTGACCGCGGCTGCGTCTTAGGTGGTCCATTCGGAAAGTCCAATTTTGGGCAACTTTTTCGAGCATTTCGGCCGGAATAGCCCGAATTTCTTCGGAAATGTTGTCTTCCAAAGCTGGAATAGTTGCTGGCTTATTTCTGTAGACTTTAGACTTGACGTAGCCCCACAAAAAATAGTCTAAAGGCGTCAAATCGCATGATCTTGGTGGCCAACTTACCGGTCCATTTCTTGAGATGAATTGTTCTCCGAAGTTTTCCCTCAAAATGGCCATAGAATCGCGAGCTGTGTGGCATGTAGCGCCATCTTGTTGAAACCACATGTCAACCAAGTTCAGTTCTTCCATTTTTGGCAACAAAAAGTTTGTTAGCATCGAACGATAGCGATCGCCATTCACCGTAACGTTGCGTCCAACAGCATCTTTGAAAAAATACGGTCCAATGATTCCACCAGCGTACAAACCACACCAAACAGTGCATTTTTCGGGATGCATGGGCAGTTCTTGAACGGCTTCTGGTTGCTCTTCACTCCAAATGCGGCAATTTTGCTTATTTACGAAGCCATTCAACCAGAAATGAGCCTCATCGCTGAACAAAATTTGTCGATAAAAAAGCGGATTTTCTGCCAACTTTTCTAGGGCCCATTCACTGAAAATTCGACGTTGTGGCAGATCGTTCGGCTTCAGTTCTTGCACGAGCTGTATTTTATACGGTTTTACACCAAGATCTTTGCGTAAAATCTTCCATGTGGTCGAATAACACAAACCCAATTGCTGCGAACGGCGACGAATCGACATTTCACGGTCTTCAGCAACACTCTCAGAAACAGACGCAATATTCTCTTCTGTACGCACTGTACGCATTCGTGTGGTTGGTTTAATGTCCAATAAAGTAAACTGAGTGCGAAACTTGGTCACAATCGCATTAATTGTTTGCTCACTTGGTCGATTATGTAGACCATAAATCGGACGTAAAGCGCGAAACACATTTCGAACCGAACACTGATTTTGGTAATAAAATTCAATGATTTGCAAGCGTTGCTCGTTAGTAAGTCTATTCATGATGAAATGTCAAAGCATACTGAGCATCTTTCTCTTTGACACCATGTCTGAAATCCCACGTGATCTGTCAAATACTAATGCATGAAAATCCTAACCTCAAAAAAATCACCCGTTA